AGCAGGGGGGCAATAGTCAGCAGGGGGGCAATAGTCAGCAGGGGGGCAATGGTCAGTTGAGCTGTAACCTCCTCGAACACTTCGGGGATTGTATCATCTCTATCCGGTCTGCTCCGAGAACCCCCCCGCTCTATGTTTATCTTGCGGATCAGAGCCCAAGTACGACCTAAAACTCGGGTTGGGAAGCGGCTAAGCGGCGCGGCTCGGTCGGAGCCCGATAAGCTCCACTTGTCACACGTGGGAAGAGACCGGCAGTCGCGACAACCATGATTGTTCCTGAACTACAAAGGACGCTGATAGTGCGGGTAGACGGCAGCGAGGCGCTCCTAGCACAAGGAAACTATACAGGAGGGGAAGGGGAGGGGGTTCTGGGAAAGTTGGGGTCTTCCGCCAAGGAGATTGCCCCCCCGTCCGGGCGGGGAGAACGCGAAGCACGTGGGTTGATCATAGTGATAGATGTCGACTGATACGGAATATTTGGTAGTCATCAACATCAGCACACCTGTAAATGGGTCAGCGATCCTGCAGAGTGGCGTGCGAGAGGCACCATGGGGGTCAACCCAGCCTCTTCAGCCAGACCAGGGGATTCGTGACACTGGTACCTGATCTGTTGCCATTATCCGACACGCGCCGCCGATACTTACGAGTAGGTAATTACTACTAACTAATTGCTGGTTACCGACTTTGAGTGACGGCTGGACCTTGCTGTCCGGAATGACGCAGCAGCCGTAATCCCAGCAACGTGGGTTTGATACCATACCCATGACCCTTAACCGGGTTATCAGGGGTGCGAGCGACGGGACCCCGCCAGACCGATCCTCTCGGGCTTCGGAGAGCAATCCATTTCGTACGCCAAACGAGTTTCAAGGTGACGGGATTGGCCGTGTTAATCCTCGAGTCCAGAGTGGCAAGCCCGCCTAATACGCACAGACCGAAGACGATGCCAATGTCTCTCCGATACCGATAACGTATGATCGCCTGACGGTTTTGTGAATGGTTCGTGTTCTGTGCAAATAGAGAGGTTTTACGTAAGGTATCCAGCTATTGACCTCGTGCTACGATGCAAATTATGGAAGGGAGGCCAGAGACGGGCTTATAGGGTATGACCAGATGTGACGTCTGTGATCAGAACTGGGGGCAATATTCCAAGTTTCCAGCGTCAGTTCGCGGTGTTCATTTCAGTGGGGGTTTTTTTTTTTTTTTTTTTGCATGAACGAAGCAACTGTGGGCCAAGTCTCACTTTCCAAGGAGTCATCCTCCAATTCTTCCTTCTTTTCTCATCCCAGTCAATGGAAATGCGAGGAGTGAGTTGGGGGTGGGTGGATTACGCCCAGAATCAGAGACATTAGTCGGTCTGGCTGAAGAGTGGGGGAGGACAGCAGACAACAGTTCACCAGCTTCAGCATCCCACGCCAATCCGAATTTATCATATGATCATAGAAGGAGGGTCGTAAAATAGGAGACGAAAAAAAGAAAAAGGAGGGGCAGGGGCTGCCGGGGGGGTTGAGCCCCCTGGATCGTGAGAAGACTCAGAACCCAACGGCTAGAGCTTTTTTTGTCCTTAAGGAACTGGCTCGTGTTTCCTATGGATTGGTAGCTTGACTATATAAGGGGTTTGGAGGTCATATTCTCTAAGTTTTTATATGCCCCTATCTCGACGATGGTGCCTAAGTTGATGGCTAGCAGCCAAATATGGGACATCGAGTCCGCATGGCGGGCAAGGAAATGCTTGGTACTCTGGCTGGTTAAGCTTCGGATATCATGAAATGTTGATGTCCAAATAATGAGGTGAATTGCACACGATCGTCTGTCTGTCTGATCTCTGTACACGTGTAAGAGTTGCCCTTGTCGTCAAGATACAGGGGATCGCCCCCAAGGCATGTGGCACCCTGGTCAAATAGGTAATTACTGCGTAACTAAAAAAATGAAAATGAAAATTTTGGGAGAGTCGGTGTGACCTAGCCCAGCCATCTCGGGTCCAGTGGACTGAGCCCCCGTCTTACCAGGCCTATCTGGGCGGCACGTCTGGTGATTCATCATCCTGGGCCCGCACATGGCTCGACTCGATACGTACGTTGTAAGGGTTCGTGAGCCGCTGATGTGAACCGACTCTACGGTTAGTTCTTGTTTCGAGAGAAGGTAAGGTGCCGAGGTCAGACAAGCACCATATTCCTGCGGGATGTCAAGGGCTTGATGACGGAAAGCCCCTAGTATCCGTACTTCGAAGTTACTTGACCGACATGACGGATCCCAAATTTCAGTATGAACAGGGGGGTCGATGGGAGAGCATGGGTACCTTGTTGTAATCAGGGGAGAGTGAGGAACGAATGGAGGATACGTCGTAGGGCAGAAGATACGACTACCCTCAACGCTCCCGGACTTCAAAGTTGACTCTATAGAGTGACAGATGTTGACACCAAAGCAACGTTCTGAGGAAGAGGTGGACGATTCTCAAGACTTGGTCGTCTCGGTATGACAGGACGAGGCTTCGATGGAGAACCGCAGTCCGAGAACGATACGAAGTCCATTGGCCCGGTAAGGTATTCGGTACTTTCGTGCCTCGTACGGGTTAAGCCTTGGGGTTAGCACATGGTAGGCTTTTAGGGCCGCGGGGAGCTTCCCGGCGCCGATCCCCATCAAACTTTGCCCTGACTGGGTAAGCATTGGGAACGGCGGTGAAGGTACCTGCCAATGGGGTTATCCGATGATAGCAGCCTTAGATCTGTTCAACCTGAGACCAAATCAAAGGCAAGATAATGGGTAAGAGACTGTATACTGTATTAAACTAAAGCTAAAATATAGGCGTTTATAAGCCAATGCTAGGTAGATCTACTTTTCATATTTCAACGGATAAGGCCGGCAAAGTCAAGAACGAAAAGGACAGGATTTGATGCAATTCGGTGCTTAAGAGCTCTGAAGTCATGGCTACCTAAATTACCGTACAGGTACCTACGGGCTCTCCACCTTATTCCCACTATAGATGCCTACAACGTATGTAAGGTACCTAGGTAACTTACGTTGTATACTTTAATAACCCCCACTTGCCGCTGTTGATGGATCAATGTGCGATTCCCAGACCGAATTTGCTTTTAGCTCCTTATCCTAAGTCTCAGTGATGTGGTGGCGTACCTAACCAGAAACCAATATTACAGTTGGGCAATGCACTAAAGGTACCTGGCGGCGGCTTGCCGGATGCTGTCAAACTCTTCTCCCGTTCTATGTACAGGTACTTTTCACACTTTCTCCACGGGAATCTTGTGGCCTTCGTATTACCCGCCTGCCAACCAGGTACAGGTACTGTGCCTTATCCGTTTATACAATTTACATGGTAATTACGAGCCATTATGTTATGAATTGTTATCCTAACTTGTTGGGTTCCGTACTGGAAAGCTCTCCCCAAGCACATCTGCCCTCCCAAGCACATCTACGGTTCCTGCGACCTACCTTACCTATAGGCATCATGACGGCTCTGCTCCTAGGCATCGACGCCTCAGTGCTGTCGTGTCATCCGAGTCGTCATGGTCTTCCCAAGTCTATCCGAGGCTTCCATAATTAACAACAGCCTCACTCTCAGTCTCCCTAGGTCGTCTGAACGACAATGCTGCCCGATTCAGCCCTCCCTCTTGCGCCGCATCTTCAACGTGGCTTGCCGCCTTCGTTATCTTTCGTCATACAAACAGCCTGCCATCGACGCGCTAGGCTTACGACATCGATGAAGCCCGACACGCCCTGAGACCTGACCGACTGGTAACATCATCCTCGCCGCCCATCACGAGCATTGGGAATCGATCTCATGTCACTTATTCACTTCCTCAATCGGGACATCCCGAGGAGGTAAATTTCGACGCCTCACGCAACTCCTAACTAAGTAGGGCCACGAATTGGGATTTTGACCGAATTGCACACTCGATCGCCTCATGCCGTGCTTCGCTGGTCCTCACACCAAGCTTCTTCTGCACGGTAATTGCCTTACCTACACCCTATCGGTCAATCCCGCCTTGCCCTGCCCAGTACATTTGATTACTTTCCAATAATCCGCTCCCACTTTGCCAGCCCTGATCTCCCCCTCAGGGTGCCATTGTCCTTCCCCACAACGTCTTCTCCTGGCGAACCTTTCACTTGCTCCCCCACACAATGTGGTCACAGCTTCACACCACACCTTTCATCTTGAGGGCGCCGGTCATGTCGTGCTTCTACTTGCTTCCAATCACTACACTTTCCCCTGATATGGGACCACACTATATCACCTTCCGATACGTTGTACAGTACGTTGTAAACAATTGGACTGCGAACCCCGGATTAGCTGCATATCGACGTTATGCAGGCCCCTTCTCGGGCTGTCGTTTATGTACCGCTCGGGGCCTGGTTCTGGTTGACTTGCCAGAGTACCCTGACAAGTGTCGCTTCTCACGAGTTCAACGGAGTATTAAGTACCTTACATATGTACCTTACATAAGGTAACGAGGACATGGTTCGTCACCGTCCTCAGCATTGTACATGTACCGGTACTTCGTTCCACCAACCGTTCCCGAGGGCCCGTCTCGCTTCCCTTGGAACGGGAATAGCTGGGCCCGCAAGGCACGGACGCAGCCCCCCCGGTTGGGGGGGGGGGGGGGGGTCTGCGTCCGTAGACTGACAAAAAAAGTCAGGCTTTGTCTTTGTTTTCTATGTTGCAATTGCGTCCGGACACCGGGGTGGGGAACACTCCCCAGGTAATTGCTCTCCCATAGATGTCACTACTGGGCCCGAAGACGGAGAGTCGAGATCAGCAAAAAGCAAGGAGACAGAGACACGGCTAGAGGGCCAAGATCGCTGGGTCTGTCCGTCCACACCCCCAAACACCTGTAATTAAATACACTAAACACGGACACCATGCCTGGACAGGCACATCCCTCTGGAAGGAGAAAGGCATCCCAAGTCTGACCCCGGTATCATACCCGACCCCCGCCATGCCATATTACCAGAGGTAGTGAGAGGAAAAGGAACGTGGGAGAGGTGGACGTGGACGACAGAAGAACGACGTAACGCGGGTCCAAGTCAGAGCACATGCTCATCATGTAGTGACATGCTGTACGAATAGGTGCTGTTGCTTTCCCTACCCTTGTGTTGCATTTTTTCTTCTTCCCACTGGCTCAGATCATGTGCCCTTTCTTCTCCTCTCGAGTTCTAGCAAATTTTCAATCCCTTCCACCTTGCTACTGTCCTAAGATGCAGCATGCCGTAGGGTGCCAGCGTAAATAAGGCCTCCTTCCGTACAATCAAACGCTGGGCTCCCGTCAACCTGCCAACCTACCCATCTTCTCATCAGCTTAGGCTCCGATCTATACATAACCTACATACATACAGCTCACTGCACAACATCTCACCGGCGTATCTGCTAATCCCTTCATGCCACGACATTTGCTTCCCAACCATCCCACGCCAATGATCACTTCATCTCATCGCCTTCCATCTCGACTCCTACGGGTATAAGACCAAAGAGAAAGCCCTCTGCCTGAACCTTTACCCCGAAGCTGTTCCACGAGCAGACATCTACTACTATCTCTACTCTATATCTGTCTTTAACTTGTCTGTTGTCTACCTCTCTTTCAGAATATACCGTCTCACTCTCATTGTTTGGTCCACACCTCTCAGCAGAAGGCCTGCATTCCTTTCCTTCGTGTGGGACTTGACAACTCCTATCTATCATCATGTCCGCCTCTTCATACCACAGCCATTGTGGAACTTGGCAGGAGCGCCTAGAGGGTACGTTAAAACAACGAGTATGAAAGTTGCTGAGACCTCTCTCAAGTTTACTAATCATCGTGCGATAGATGCCTGTCGCGAGGCGCAAATCATGCCGCCTGTCTTCCAGATCGTTTCCGACCGCCGAGGTAAGTGACGTTACTGAGAGGATCAATGGGAGGAGATCTCGGCTGACCCTTTCTCCCAGGCGGCCGTACAGCTTGGTCCAGCCGAGTCACCATCCAAGGGCGGACTCTGGCAGCAAGGTTCTGGTACGATGGCAAGAACCTCAACAACGCGAAGGAAGACGCCGCCGAGCTGGCACTCAACTACCTTGCGGGCTCCAACCCTAGCTCCCCAGCAAACAGCAGGGGGAGCTGGTAAGCGGCTCCCAGAGTCCTGCTGCGGAGGGAGTAGAAACTTCCCGACATCAATCGCGGTTCAATGCACAGATCAGCGTCGCGACTTGTACTCGTTCTTTTGAGTTTCCTTGCGACTTTTGATTTTTGTACGATACTGCCTGGAGTTTTTGGCGAAGGGGAACACCGGCCTGCGTCCCCACGGCGTCGGGAATTACACAAAAAGGGAACCTTGACGGAAATGGCGCAACATCTGGATTTTGTCTCCCCATGATCGACTTGGGTGTCACGAACATTGATACTAGCCTGTTGGATTAAGAGGGGTGATCTGAGGAAAGGAGGGAGGTACCTACTGTTTCATGAGCGAGGTTGGAAATTGCTGTTTCCATGTCTTGTCACATCTAATGTACCATGCTAGGAACTACCTAAGGTACAGAACAAGATGTCACGCACTTTAGGTACAAAAGGAAGGGAAAGGATGATGGGGCATTTGCACTTGCACTTCGGCGTTAGTCATTTGCTCCAGAAAAATGGAAAAGAAACAAAAAGATGGATCATTTATCGAGATATGCCATGAAACGGTCGTGAAATGAACGAGGTCAAAAAGTAAGGAGTCAAATGAGAGTAAGTGTACCCGAAAGAAGCGTGGCGGCTTCAAACATCAGGTAATTAATACGAAGTACCTACATAGGTACAGATACTCTCCCGAGCTAGGTCCACTTTGTAACGAGAACCCAACAAGCCAGCCCGTTCAATCGAGGGGGGCATCCTTGAGAAGACGGCATATTCCTTACCTCGTTGTCGATCGTCCAGGATAAGATGTTTGTCACTCTCTTACTTAGACATTCCAGGTCATGGACGTAATGAGTGCTGGGAGACCAGCAGGATTCGAAATGCGGATACTGCGCCCCCACTCTCGACACGCTGCCCCCGTGTTCAAGCGCGGCTTTGCTATCTAGGCGACGTCTTGCAGGAGCTGGTGCCCAAGGGTGAAGAAGCGAGGTTGACGCAAGGTCTCAACAGACCCGGTAAGGATTACTGACAACGGACGAACATCCAGGCCTCCCCCATTGGTAAGGTTCTGGAGGAGCTGGTCAGGCGCCGCCACGTCCCTTCGGCGGTCGTGTGTGTGTGTGTGGACGAAAGACCGCTACTTCGGACACCCGTCAACTGCATCTAGACCGCCGGGGTGGCCCCGCAATAAGGACGGGACGTTGGAGACTACCTACACGTGTAGAACCCAAGAACTTTTCCAGTAAAAGCGGATTAGGATTTTTGGGCGGTGTGATATGTAATTAGTCGGTAGGTTTGGGGCGGATGACAGAACCGGGCTGCAGCATCGTCATTACCTTAGTGGTCATGAGAGGCAGCAAGCCACTGAGATCACGTGCAAGAAGCCTCAGCCACAATGGGGCGCGGCACAGCCCGAAAATACAGCCATCCGTGCGCCACATTCGTTCGAGTGGACTTTTTTTGCGTGTTGCATCCTGAAACCAGCGCGACGCAAATTCGACCGACTGCAGAGAACTCCTGATTGGAGATCAAGGCTTTGGAAGTGAAAAAAGGGACCTTCCGAAGACCATGTCTCTGCGACCAAGCTTTAGGCTTGCCTGCAGAACGCTGGCACTACGATCAAGGCCAGTGTTGCCGAGACAGGAAGCCCTTGGGTGGTCGCTCTCGAAAAGACGATATGCCGACGACTCGACGACAAAACCTCCTGCGAAGCCATTGAATCAAGCAACCAGCACCACTCCCGCCGCGGATGTGTCACAAACGCAGACTAAGGGAGTAGGGGTGTCGAACCCGGCGGAAGACAAGGTAAGGTGTGGTGAAGAAGAACGGCGTCCGGATTTCGCTTTCCGTTGTCATTGACAAAGTTCGTCTCCAACAGGAGGGTTTAGGAGATGATTTCTCCGTGCAATCGAGCACGGAAGATGCGATTGATCAGCTCGAAGCTGCTCTTGCCGGCCTCTCCGAGAAGCCGAAGAGCAGAGCCACATCCAAGCCGGGAGAATCATGGGTATGGGCGAGATGCGTCTGCGATAAGACCCTTGTGCTTAACGACTATGCTGACTGGGACTCTGGACAGGATGCTCTGGCCGAAGAGGCTGCTGCGGACAACTCGGGGCTGACAGTCGAAGAGGCCATGGGAGAGTTGGAACGTGCCGCACAAGGACAGGGGAGCGGTGTCGGGCTCGAGGGTGGACTGACGCCGAGCCAGGAGGAACACCTTTACCGCGAAGGGTCCATCCCGCCCACGATGTCGGACGGCAATGCCCAACGAGATATTGAGGTGTTGGCCTCCGGTGGACTGCTGGCGGACGCAGTGGAGGAGCAACAAGTTCAGGTGGACGCTAAGGGGAGGGTACACAAGTGGCCTCTTCCCACGCTGCCTCTGGAGCCACAGAACAAACTCAAGTCCAGGTACCACCCAGTGCTCGACCAACTAACGAATCTGCTTATGCGACATGGCAAGAAGAGCGTTGCGCAGAGGGTAAGCCCGTGCACCCTGCGCTAGCCCCAGCGTTGGGTCCAGTTCCCCCGGAAAAAGAAGAACTCGTTTACTGACGAACGGGTTACAGAATATGGCGATGATCCTGAATTTCCTCCGAACCTCACCTCCTCCCATCCTCAGCCAGAAATACCCGTTGCTACCGGGTCATCCGCCGGCCTCGCACCTCCCACTCAACCCGGTCCTGTACATGACGTTAGCGATCGACAGCGTGGCGCCGCTTGTCCGCATCAACTATATCAAGGGTGGTGCTGGTGGTGGTCGAGCGCTCGAGGTGCCCAAGCCGCTCAAGGTGCGGCAGCGAAGGCGGACGGCGTTCCAATGGATCCTAGACGTGGTGTCGAAGAAGCGCTCGACGGGTAGTGGGCGCACACAGCTTGCGCACCGCATCGCAAACGAGATTATCGCAGTGGCGGAGGGGCGGTCGTCGGTCTGGGAGAAGCGGCAAGCGGTCCACAAGCTCGGCACGGCGACACGAGCCAACGTCAACAAGAAGCCCGTTCGCTCACACTAGATCAACGATAGGAGTGGAGCCGCACATTACGGCCGCCGGGCGTTGTAATATTAGATAGATTCCAGGGGCCATGTATTGTATCACTGTACCGAACAAACTGTATACCTACCTACGCATCAACTTCATTACGCTTGTCTTCATGTATATTCGTAGTCGTCGATGGACTCTACTAGATCTGGCGGTGTTCGGTAGGACTTCGAATGGTGCTAATACGATCCCCATGAGACACTCGAGATCTACTGTCTACATTAACATCTGGGACGTTAGACGGAGACAATCTACACCTCTGCCGGGGTTAGAAACGTTAGCTCGAGACTTTACCCCACGACCCGCCCGTTCATTAGATAAGGGTGCTGATCCGTACATTCTTACCTACTTTATATATAAAGGTATAAACGTTAATATCGCCACCGGACTAACGTTAATATAATTAAAGCTATCACGATATTTAAGACGTTTTTTTCTACCTAAACCCTCTAACTTTAAGCACTTATAACTTTACCAGTTTTTCTATAATCCCTATTTTAAAGCTATCGTCAGAATTATCAAAAGCAGCTCTTTTTAATATAACCGCTATTAACGCTATATCTAACCTGCCTAATATCGAGGATATCGAGATTTAACGCCTATCTACGCCTAAGACTTTATAGCTTTATCGCCTACCTATAATCGACGAATCTCCTAGTAGAATCAACCTACCTAAAGACGGGAGGCGTTTTAGCCCTCCTAGCTCTCCTTTAGCCTCGTGATAGAACCGGCTTAATAGCTAGTCGATTAGAGCTGCTTGTCGCGACGCCCTACTACTAATTTTACAAGACTAAGCCTCGTAGCCTCGCTCCTAAGAACTATCTCGAGATTTAAGGCTAGAGCTTCGGGGTCTTCGGCGTATCGTAGGCTAAAGCTATAGTCGGATTATAGAGTTAGCCTCTGTTACGGGTTAACCCCGATATAGAGGATCCGGCTATACCCCGGATCTTCCTGACTACGCGCTTAGTTAACTGACCTATACCGCTAAGTTATCGCTACCTTATAGCTAGCCTAGCGCTATAGACTTTTCTCCTTTTCCTTTTTCCTTTCTTAGTTCTAGATAATCTATTATTACGACCTTACTTAGTGACACGACCTATGACTAGTCGTTTATATATCTAGAACTTAGCGACACCTACGCGCTACGCTAATAATAGATTAGGATCCTAACGCTACCGCCTAATAACCTATTAGAATTAAATAGGTCGTAGAGTAGACGAACTAACGGTTCGAAGAAAATAACTAAGCCCTAAACGTAAGGCTAGGCCCTCTCTATAAATAATATACCGATATTAACTTAAGGCTCGCTCCGATATAAGGATACTACTCGGAAATACGCTAGTTTATAGACCGATAACGCGCGAGAGAAGAAGCTAATAAGCGATAATACTAGTTAGTCGAATAGCTTATAGCCTAGCTCCTAGGATCGCCTACCCCGTAGAACCTAACACCGCTTAACCTAAATATCCCGGCTCCCTTATAGACCCTGATAATCCTTATACTTGTAGAGTCTACCCTATTACCGGTTCTATCGCCTACGCTATAGCCGATAATAATAGTAGTCGCCCCGACCTTAATAGTAATACCCCGTAAGACTATCGATAGCCCGGCGAAGTTCTTAGGGAAGCGAGTATATTATAGCGCGTAGGCCTACACGATATAGTAAAAGCTTATAATCGTTAGCGACTTATTCTAAAATAATATACGAGCTTAGTATATAATCTATAATTACCTAAGGCCCGAAGTATAATAGGTTATATCGGCCTTTTATAAAAGCGATAGGCCGGGTAAGCTTATAGATCCTAATAACTTTATAGCGTATCTTAATCGTACTTACCTTAACCCTATAGAATAATTACGGGCCGCCTAAGCCTTACGTATAATTTATTAATAAACCGATAAGTCGTTTACCGCCTTTTTACCCTGTTTTAAAAGATAGATCGCCTTTACGGGTAATACCGAATAGGAAGCCACCGTATAGATCTTATTCCTTAAAGGAGCGATTACTTCGCGATTTAGGGATAAACTTATCTCCGCCCGAATCCCTATTAACTACTATACTGTATAGGTTAACGGCGTATAAAAGATTACTAGGAAACTTAAAGGCTATTAGTTTAAATAAAACTACGATAAATAAACTTAAGACTATATAACTGCGAAGAAGGATATTAACGGCGATATAAAGATAGGCGGAGTAAACCGTGTTAGTGATAGAAAAGCGAAGTAAAAGACTCGGATATACTATAACTATAATAAAAAAGGGTATATTACTCGGAACTATAAAAAGCTAAAGAAAAACTAAAACACGGTCCGGAAGGTTAAAGAGACTCGTACGAAAAATCGCGATAAGAGCGGGGATAAGTCGACTAGCGAGGATAACTCGGAAAAAAAGTAGCTCTAATGGGAAAACGGGTATTAAAGCCGATAGCCGCGATATAGCGGGAGTAAGAGGCGTTTAAAGTATATACTAGTAGTAACCCGGTACTTATAGTAGCTAGAGTAAATAAACGGCGTATCCTCACCCTTATTAATACTAGTTATAACTACTATACCGCTATAAGTAAATAGTTTACCTAAAGACTTTAATTACTATTAGTTGATAAGACGAATCGATTACTAAATAGCTTCTCGGAAGCTACTAGGACTATTAGTAGCGCGGGGATTATTATCTATAAGCTTAAGATTAACGGTTACCTGTAACGGATATTCGTATATATAGTACCCGGGCTTAACTAAGACGTATTCCTCGAGAAGCCCTAGATAGAATAAAATAACGTAATATACTACGCTAAAGATAAACGGCTTTACTATAGAGTAGCCGGATTAAATATACGACTTTATCACGAAAAGAAACCTATTAGAGTATAAGCTATCCATGACGCTTATTTAGTTATAGAATCTATATTCGCGGGTATTATTCGACGACTATAACGGAAAGGTAAGGAAGTCTTGATCTAGGGAGTAAGCCTAAGGGATATCGAAAAAGCGTTATATAAGAAATAACTAATAAACCTAAAGGACTTTATACCCGAAGAGTTACTACGAGAATTCGGCGATCTATTCGCGCCCGATAAGGCTAATTAATTACTGCTATACCGATTAGAAGTCGACTATAAGGTAAACCTTATACCCGGAAGCGATAGTAAAAAACTATAGCTTCTTTAGGGGCCACTCTATAATATATTAAAGGAAGAACTCTTAGTATTACGGAAAATACTTACCGACTTAATAGATAAAGGATTTATCCGTGCTAATAGTTCGGAAGCCGCGGCTCCTATCCTTTTTATAAAAAAGCTAGGCGGAGGACTTTGATTTTATTACGACTATTAAGCGTTAAACGCGATTACTAAATAAGACTATTATCTATTTCCCCTAATCGCCGAGATACTATAAAACCTAAACTAAGTAAAGTGGTTTATAAAGCTGAATATAGTCGCCGCATTTTATAAGATTAGGATAGCTTTAGGATATAAATATAAGACTATATTCCGAACTCGGTTTAGGCTCTTTAAATAGCTTATCTATCTATTCGGCCTAAGTAAGGCTCCCGTGACTTTCTAGCGATATATTAATAAAACACTATAGCGTTTCCTAAATAACTTTATTACCGCTTATATCGACGATATTCTAGTCTACTCTAATAAGAGTTAGGCCGACTATAAGGCGAAGGTAAAGTAAGTACTCCGCGTACTCGCGGATACCGGCCTAAACCTAAATCCGTCGAAGTACGAGTTTAGTATAAAGACTGTAAAATACCTAGGATTTATAATCACCGCGGGGAAAGGCGTGTTTTACGACCTAGAGAAGTTATAAGCTATTCGTGAGTAGGAAGCGCTTATAACGGTTAAGGGCGTGCGAAGCTTTTTAGGGTTTACGAATTATTACCGAATCTTTATTAAGGATTTTTTAGGGATCTCGGCCCTATTAATAACACTAACTAAAAAAGACTATACCTTTTAATAGGGTTCTAAGGAAGAAACGGCTTTTCGCGAGCTAAAGGCGAGGTTCTAAGAAGAACTAATACTATAATAGTAGGACCTAATAAATAAGATATTTATCGAGACGGACTACTCGGGGTTTACCTTTAGGGGTAGCCTAATATAAGAAGACGCGGACGGAAATCGTTATATAGTCGTATACTACTCTTATAAACTTAATAAAGCGGAATATAATTATCTAATCTATAATAAGGAAATACTAGTGATTATAAGTTATTTAATAATATAGCGGGCTAAGCTTATTAGTTATAGGTAGTTTTTAGTCCTCTCCGACTATAAGGCCCTTAAATACTTCATAATAAAGCGAATACTTACTAAGCGATAAAGCCGATAATTCGACTTTATACTCGAGTATCAGAAAGGAAAGGATAACACGATAGCGGTATCGTATAGGCAGGACTATAATATAGTCTATAGGGGATCTAGGGGGGATCCACTCTATAACTAAGGGCTCCGCATATCGGGGACTTCGGGTATTAGGATATAATAAGGATAGATACCGGAAAAGACCGGATAGGATCTAAATAATATAGTACCTATAATAGAGTCTTTACTACCTAAATCAAGAGTATAAAAGACTCTCCTAGATATAACTTAATATAATATATATACACGAGATTTCTACTTTACTAAGTTATTTATTTGAGTGTTTATTTAACATGCGATAGTTATAAGCCCGGTTTATAACGCCTAAACAATAGATATTAATAAGACTACCCCTATTCTACTATAAAGAAGTAATTACGTCTATATAAGCACTCTTCAATAACTACTATGACCTAATTAGAGTAATTAAGATATTAATTAACCTACCTATTAATTAACTAACCGATAAATAATAATCTAGTAAAGATATCTTCTAACGTATCTAATGCTAAATAGAAGGCGGCCGCCACGACCCTTATTAACTAAAGGGATTAGGTAGTTTAAGAGCGCGCCGTACACGGTAAATCGGCCTCCTACTGGGATAACTACCTTAATCTAAAGCTAAGCGATAAGGAGGCTAACGCCTATCTCCTTCTTATACCTATACCCCCTAATATCCGTAAATATAAGGCTCTCGCCGTGGACCCTAATGCAGAGGAGGCCACGACTACCACCGTTACGGCTACTCCGTCTTCTATTATTACGGTAAAGGGCGATAAGGCTATAGACGCCACGGACGCCGCTACCACGGCCGTTACCACG